TTTTTAATTATGAATAATATGAAACTTGAGAATCCTATTTAATGGGTAAAACAAATAAAACACCCTGTACGTGAAAAGGTGAAAGGTCAAAAGAATTAAAGGTGAAAGGTCAAAAGAATTATTGGACTTAATACTTTTAGATGTATGTGGACCAATTACTGCCCAGGCCATAGGCAGATGTGAATGCTTCATTATATTTAGTGATGACTATACTAGATATGGTTGTATGTATATATAATAAAACACAAATCTGAATTTGAAAAGTTCAAGGAATTTAGAAATGAAGTTGAGAAACAAACTAAAGTATTAAAACACTTCGATCTGATCGAGGCAGAAAATACTTAAGTTTAGCGTTTCAAGATTATCTATTAGAAAATATGAATCGTACCTTATTAGATATGGTACGATCCATGCTGAGTCTTGTAGAATTATCTTTATCCTTTTGAGGTAATGCGATATACCTTCTAAATAGAGTTCCATCCAAATCTATTGATAAGATTCCATATAAGATGTGGGCCAACAGGCTTATGTGAAGCGTTTGGGATCTGATAAGATGTGGGCCAACAGGCTTATGTGAAGCGTTTGGGATCTGATAAGCTGTGAGCTAAATCAGATAAATGTAAGTTTATGGGATATCCAAAAGAAATTATTGGATATTATTTCAACCATCATGTTGAGAGAACATACTACCTTTTTAGAAAAGGTATTTATCCTTAAAGGAAGCAATAAGAGCCTGGTAGAACTTGAAAAGTTCAAGAACCTCAAATAAACATTAAATATGGAACTAGAACAAAAGATTATTACATTAGATTAACAGTCAAAATACATTAGTTAAAGAACCACTACATAAATCTGTTAGGATGAGCCATACTCCTACAAAGGTTGGACCTTCTTGTTGGAGACTCAAACCTAACAAATATAAGGGAGAAATGTTTGACATTTACTTGCAATTGCACATATTATGATTATAAAATTTGTCATATTATGATTCTTGAATCAAAAGAATTTCCTAATATAGTATGCAGACTGCAAAAGTCCATTGGTAAACTTTAGCAAGCCTTTACAGAATGGGAACACCCGTTTTAATGCAATAATAAAATAGTTTGATTACATTAAAAAAAGTGGATGACCTTTGTGTGTATAAGAAGATTAGTGGAAGCAGAATGATAATTCTTATTTTGTATGTTAATAACATATTAATAATAGGAAATTACATTTTACACTCTAAAAATTTGGTCATCCAAGAACTTCTCCATTTGAGAAGTGGCTTATATACTTGGTATTCAAATCTATAAGGATGGATTCGATAGGTTGCTAGGATTATCTGAATCCATATATGTTGATAACATGCTAAAACAGTTTAGCATGGAGGAATCCAAAAGAGGATACCTACTTATATATCAATCTAATCCGAATGAAAGTCACTAGATTGCTGTTAAAACTATCCTTAAGTAAGGATAGTTTTCAGTCATAGAGAAACTAATGAACTAAGAGTTCATGGATACATTGATGTCATAGGATAAAACACATGGGTAATTGGCTTTAGTGCAAGTGGGAGATTGTTAGTTATATGCGCTATAGCCAATTTGACTGGTTATATTTAGGATATGATATTTCATGTAATAAATAATCATTAATAAGAGGCATTTATTTATCTTTTATATTATATTGATTGAATCTTAGTAAAAGATAAAGTCTATGAGACAATACTACTTTGCAAAATAAATTATAATGTGGTTATAATTATGAGTTTTATATTGCACTAAATCAATGTCTCTAAATATTTCTGGTCAATGTTCTTCTCATTATTGGATGATGATTAAAGCTGTTAAGACTGGTACATATTATGTTCTTTCCTTAGGGAATCAGCTGTTCTTATAAGCTGAGATATGTGTGATATCTAGAATTAATATGTAGGTGCTTGTTATTTAAACAAGTTCACTGAATTGACATGCATGAGAATTCCATATGGAGAGTTACATGTGTCTATGAAATATTCAAGTGATGATTGTGTAAGTGATCATTTGACTTGAAATTACTAAGCTATTTTGTATTGTGTAAGTGATCATTTGACTTGAAATTACTAAGCTATTTTGCTATGGAGAGACTATGCTTTGATTCTTCGCTTCACATTATTCATCATGAATAATAAAAAGCTACTGATTTATTAGACATAGTAGGAAACTGTATAGAGATACTTGTCATTAGGCCACTGACCTGGTCAGTTATTGTCCGCTTTAGGCTTTGCAACCCTCACCGGATTTGCTCCCTCAGCAGCGCTTTACAACCCACCCAAAAAGCGCCCGCTAACCAAGTTAGAGACTTACCCTTCTTATGTATAGATCGTTTACCCCGTCCTAACCGAGTGGGGATTTGCCTAAGGCTGTACCAGCCTAGAGTTTATGCTATGAGGTTTATGCTATGAGGCAGAGGCAGGATGCAGATTCAGCTGATGTAGTGACTGGTATATTTCCTTTATTTAATCATGATGTTTATGTATTGTTTGATCCTGAATCATCTCACTCTTATATTAGTGCTGAGATTTCTTGCTATGCATCTGTTCCTTCTTTGAGATTGGGGTATGAAGTGCTTGTCTCGAGTCCATTAGGACAAGAAGTTATTGTTAACAAATTATATCCTGATTGCCCACTCATAATCCAAGATCATGTATTCCCTTCTGATTTAGTTGAGATGCCTTTCGGAGATTTTGATGTTATTTTGGGCATGATTGGTTAAAAAAATATCAAGCAGTGGTTGATTGTGACTAAGAAGATACTATTTAAACTGCCTAGAATATAATAGATGTGGTGATACAGGGTGAGAACAGAATACTTTCATTCATCTGTGATAAACCTGCAGCTTAGCTCAGAAATTGATTCCGTCATGGGTGTGAGGCATACCTTAGCTCAACATTTGTGGACACAAGGCGTGGTACTCCTTAGTCTTAAGGGACATTCCTACTGTGTGCTGGACTTTCCAGATGTTTTTTTCCAGAAGAGTTACCAAGATTTGCCGCCAGAAAGGGAAGTTTGAATTTTGACGATTGAGGTTATGACAGGGACTTCAACCGATCTCCATTATCCTTACAGGATGGGCTCCTGCTGAATTAAAAGAATTGAAAAGGCACAATTACAGGAAAATTCTTGATAAGGCGCGTTTATTCGTCCTAGTTGCTGTCACCATGGCGGGGAGCTCCAAGTTGGCTATTTGTAAAGAAGAGAAGACGGCGGTTACCGGTTGTGCACCGCATTACGTCAGTTGATAAGGTCACAGTCTAAGAATAAAGTATCCTTTTGCCCAAGGATTGATGATCTTCTTTTGATCAGCTTCAAAGGTGCTTCTGTTATTCTCTAAGATAGATTGAATCGGCTCGGTCGACGGTATTATCAACTCAGAGTTAAAGAGCCAGAGTATTCCTTAAGACGGCATTCAGGACTAAACTATGGCCATCTATGAGTTTCTAGTTATGCATTCGGATTAACTAATGCTCCAGCAGCATTCATGCTTTGATGAACACGATTTTCAAACCTTAACCTTGACCAATTTGTGTGGTTTTATTGATGACATTCTGCGTATATTCCAAAGATTAGAGAAGAGCATGATAAGCACCTTAAGAATTATTTTCAAACTCCTTCCTCTTCGAGAAAAACAACTTTATGCTAAGTTTTCTAAATGTGAATTCTGGTTAGCACAAGTTGCTTTTCTTGGTCATATTGTATCTGCAGAGGGTATTGCAATGGATCCTGGTAAGATTGAGGCTATTTCCAGTTGGAAGCCACCTAAGAATGTTTCCGAGATTCATAGTTTCTTGGGTTTGGCTGGCTATTATCGCAAGTTTGTTAAGAGATTTTCTATCATTGCTCTGCCCTTAACTAAACTATTACGGAAGAACGTTAGATTTGAATGGACAGATAAATGTCAGGAGAGCTTTGATAAGCTAAAGAAGTGCTTGTGGCTTGCTTGAAGCGCAGGTTTTTGACTTTACCTAATCCAGGCTAAAGAGTTTACTGTTTATAGTGATGCTTCTGCATAATGGCTTTAGGTTGTGTGTTGATCAGGATAGATATGTTATTGCTTACGCATCACGCCAACTTAAACCACATGAGAGGAATTTATCCTACACATGATTTGGAAACTCTGCACCATTGTATTTGCATTGAAGATATGGAGAACATATCTTTATTGGTTGAGAAATGCTATATCTTCACAGATCATAAAAGGTTTGAAAGTATTTCTGGCGGTACTCAAAGGAGTTGAATTTGCGACAGAGAAGATGGCAAGATGGCTTGAGTTGATAAAAGATTATGACTGTATTATCGATTATCAGCCAGGGAAAGCTAATGTGGTAGCAGATGCACTGAGTCGTAAGACTATTACTAGCCTGAGGACTACAGCGTTATCTCTAGTCCATGATCTACGGTCTATCAATGCTAAGATTGAGAAGATTTCTGACAATTGGGTGTTAGCTAATCTTCAGGTGAAGCCTTTATTGATTGATCAAATTCGAATAGCAATAGTGACTGATGATGAATATCAAAAGATTCTTTTAGAGACACAAGAGAGTAAAAGACCAGATTTTTCTGTCAGTAGAGATGGGTTATTACTATTTCGGGACCGGTTATATGTTCCTTCAGATTTAGATTTGAGACATCTCATTTTGAAGGAATTTTGAAGGAAAGCCACATGATTCTCCATTTGCTATGCATCCAGGCGGACCAAGATGTATAGGGATTATGAAGAGAACTATTGGTGGACTTGGAATTAGGACTCTCCCAGTGCCTAGATAGGAAATAAGCTGGTTTCCTATAAAAATCCTGCAAAATTCCTCAAGATCAAGTAAAATATGATTCAAGTAAGATCCAATAACAGTGCCAACATGGAAATGGGATTAGATCACGATGGATTTTGTTACCGAATTACCTCAGACGTAGCGGAAGCATGATGCAGTATGGGTAATTGTAGACAAATTAACCAAATCCGCGCACTTTCTACCAGTCAGGATGGACTATTCTCTAGACAAGTTAGCAGAAATTTATGTTAGAGAAATAGTTAGACTACATGGAGTTCCATCATCCATTATATCTGATCGTGATCTAAGGTTTACATCGAAGTTCTGGGGTAAATTGCAGGAAGCATTAGGAACAAAACTGCATTTCAGCACTGCATTTCATCCTCAGACAGAATGCCAGTCAGAGAGAGTAATTTAAATCCTAGAAGACATGATGAGATCATGTGTTATAGAATTTGAAGGCAGCTGGGACAGATATGTACATCTCATGGAATTTGCCTACAACAACAGCTATAACAGTTACCATACCAGTATCGGAATGCCTCCATATGAAGCTTTATATGGTAAAAAATGTAAGACACCCTTATGTTAGGATAAAGTAGGTGAGAGACAATTATTAAGTCCTGAAATTGTTCAACAAATGGAAGAAAAGATTAAAATAGTTAAAGAAATATTGAAAGCAGCTGAAGATAGACAAAAGTCATATGTGGGTCTAAAGAGAAGAGATATAGAGTATAATGTGGGTGATAAAGTATTTCTTAAGGTTTGCCCTTGGAAGCATGTTATGAGATTTGGTGGAAAAGGAAAATTGAGTCCTTGCTTCATAGGACCTTATGAAATACTTGAGATTTTCCTCTTACTTGAGAGGATTGGTCCATTGGCATATAAGTTAGCCTTACCACCAGACCTCGATAAGATTCATAATGTTTTCCATGTTTTTATGCTTCGGCGATATAGATCGGACCCTTCACATATATTGCCTTTAGAATCAATTGATGTTAATCGAGACGTCACATATGATGAAGAACCAGTGGCTATCCTAGCTAAGGAAATTAAGCAACTTCGGAATAAACAGATTCCCCTAGTTAAGGTGTTACGAAGCCACTCCAGAGGAAGAGGGCTTACTTGGGAACTGAAGAAGATATGAAGAAGACAACATTCCACAATTATCACCGCGATCTATAAACAGGCTTAAAAATTCGAGACGAAATTTCTTTAAGGAGGGAAGAAGTTGTAAATCCTCAATTTTGTAGTTCTTTCTATTCTAGCTTTTTCGATGACATTCGGTTATCCGAAAAAAAAAAAAAAAAGGAAAACTTAGAATAATGGGAAACACTATATATTGAGGATATTAATATTAATTAAATTAACATTAATTGATCTTTGCAAAATCAATGCTTTTGCAAATCAATGTGAAAGCTTAAAGGAAATCAAAAATGAGTTAAAAGATGAATGACTTCTCGGTAAAGCACGATTTTACCCGAAAAGCTTGAAAAACGGTAATTTCCGTACGATTTTTACCAAGTGGAGTTTAGAATATTAAATACACTTCGTTTATACCTAATAGGACTAAAGTAAAATGATTAAAAAGATTAGAGTGCCAAAGGATGAAGGGAAAACAAAAGGGAGGATTATAGTGCAAATTGCATTTAAAGGACATGGAAGGAATTTTTAATAAAGTTTATTATATAATTTTATTGAAGAAGAGGAAAGAACCACGACACTTCACTCATTGTTGCAGCAAACCGTTCAAGAAGAGAGGAGGAGGATTTTGAGTCAAAACCAAGCAAAAAGAAGGTGAAAATCAAAGAATTTTCAAGTATTTTTTTCAAGTATTTCTTAAGAAAAGGTTAGTTATTTTCACTTCCTCCTTCATTTCTATGGACTACTTTTTGAATTCCATGAACTTTGAAGTGAGGTGCTTGTTTGTGTAATCTGATTTGCTGAAGATGAAGTGATGAGAAGTGATTTTAAGGTGATTTAAGATGATTGAAAGTAGTTATGCATGAATTCAAAGTCTAAGTTGCTTAAGTCACCAAGATGGATGATTTTGAGTTTGTTCTTGATATGCCATGAACTAGGGATTCTGATATTCTTATATTATGATGTTATGTAAGTAATAGAAGTGCATGATTTGTGCTGGAAGTGAGGTTGTAGAACGCCTTAAACTATATAAATTATTGTTGGGACATGTTACAGTTGGGCTTGCCTGAAATTCGCTTCTTACATGACCTAATTTTGACTAGCAAAATATGAACTCCAAAATTTATTTTGAAATTTGATATGGAGATTAGATAGACTGAGACGTGTAGGTCGTGTTAAAATTTAAAGGCCATTGGATAAAAGCAAATGGAGTTATAAGTAAATCAATGCAGGCTGCTCAGCATGAGAAAAACTGAACTTCAGATTATATAATTATGTCATTTAAAAATGAAAATGAGCTTTAAAAATTATGAAATTTTCCAGAACAGTACCCTAAGATGTTGGGAACATGCTGTCAAAATTCAGGGCAATTGAATAAGGGAAATTCAAGATATAGTCAACGCAATACCAGCTACTCAAATGCTGAAATTCTGCATGTCATAAACCTTGAACGAATTTAGCATGCTATTCACTTCTATTGTATGAATTCGGAAATCGGAATCAAAATTTTATTATTTTTAAAAAAATTTGTGTAATGCCGGAACCGTATCGGAACCGTAATTCGAACCGTCGGTTCACCGGAATCGTGCCGGAAACGAAGGTTCAAGGGTCAGTTCCGGTTCAAAATTTTAAACATCTCGAACCGGCGGTTCAGTGAACCAGAACCGGCGGTTCACTGAACCGGCCATGCCTATATCATGCTACAGCTACTGAGAGAAAGGGAGTTGAGGAGAGGGTGATTACTAGAGGAAAAGGGCTAGGGGAGCCATCTAGTTCCGGTTAGTGTATATTATTCTACTTACTTTTATTTAAACAAAATGAAATTGATTTTGCAAAATATTTTCAATGGATTTGCTTTATGAATTATAATTATATTCATAAGTTTTTAAAGAGGAAAATGATTATTTTGAAAGCATACGACCGAATGATATTTGAACAATTACATTCTATTATGTATCTAAGATTTAAACAGGACTCCAATATGTAATTAAATCATCCATGGACTTATAGGTTATGGAACCATTTTATTTTATGTTTTTTTTATAATATGTTTAAGAAATTATATTGAGATTAATATCTACCAAAAGAAGTTATATATATTTACTAACTAAATTATTTTGCTACAAGATATAAAAATGAAGGAATTAAAAGGATTAAGTCCCTTGTAGTATACTTAGTAAGCATTTATAAGAATTAAGTGATTTGGATATCATTCACTAGATGATTATATGATTTGAATATGAAATTCTCCCTCCATGTTTGAGGTTGTAGATTTTGCCTCCCTCTTCTGTTGAAATCATATTCACAGATTGAGTTGTAGTAGCAGTCTGATGTGCACATTAGACACTGATGGCCCTCAGAATTGACTCTATTAAAAGCGTAAAGACCATATTATGAATTTGATGACTTTAAATGTATTTGATTTATTTTTGTTTCTTATTTTCTTTACCATGGTGGATGGATTTATGAATGTCATTCCCTTATTATTTTCTATTAGGTACACCACTAAGCCATATCGCTTAGCGATAGTTTTTGCTTTTGTCACTTATCGCAGGTACAGGTAAAGAAAAGGAAAAAGAACCAAGAGAGGATCATTTTTATTTGATGTAGATAGTATGCTACTGATGTAGCTATTGTATATTTGACTTCTTTTAGAATATGTATGATGTATTAAACATTAACAGATCATCTATGTATATTTGAGCAGATTCATGTGAATTATGATTGTATGAATTTGAAAATTTATAGTCTATTAAGCTGATCAAAGAGATCATCAATCCTTGGCAAAGGATACTTATTCTTGACTGTGACCTTATTCAACTGACGGTAATCGATGCACAACCGTAAACCGCTGTCTTTCTTCTTTACAAATAGCACTGGAGCTCCCCATGGTGACACACTAGGACGAAAAAACCCCTTATCAAGCAATTCCTGTAATTGTGAGGTGAACGAACCAAAATAAGTTATACATTTAATAACTAAATTATTGCTACAAGATATAAAAAAATTTTAAAAAAAAAGAAGGAAATAAAAAGGTTTAAGTCCCTTGTAGTATACTTAGTAAGCAAATATAAGAATTAAGTGCTTATTAATTATATTACGGGCGACATGCCATGTCGTCTTACAGTAGAGTAAGGTGTGACATGTTTACTTTGGTATCAGAGCAGTTTTAATTGCATATTGGATTATATTTTTGCTGAATATAAATGTGTGAAATGTAATCTGCTCAAATATGACATGGCTATTAATTGTTGGATATCTACATCATACAATATTCTAATACGATGCATGGTTTTCTGTGATAATATACAGAGAGCTTGTTATTTTTGATCGATAGTATGGAGGGTGTTAGTCGGGGAGATAATTTTAATCCGCTTGAGGAGCAGTCTGAAGCGAGACAGGAAGAGCGTGGTAATGGTAATGCTCCCGAGCATGCTGATGTCCCTGTTGCGCCAGCTGTTGACCCTATAGCCCAGCAGATGGCTACGTTATTGAGACAAATGGCGGGTAACTTACAACAGCAGCCAGTTAGACAGTATGATAAGTTGGTTAAGTATGGGGCCACAGAGTTTTCAGGCACCACTGACTCGATGGTAGCTGAGCAGTGGCTAGAGAGGATTGATACAGTTGGCTAGAGAGGATTGATAGGGTTTTTCTTAAAAGCCTCCAGTGTTATGATGCCTCAGAGGTACGATTATGCAGTCTTCCTTTACTTCAGGAAGATGGCATATGAGTGGTGGAATGAGTGGTGGAAGACAGTTCTTAGGAGCAAAGTGCAGCCACCAGTTCTGACTTGGGCAGACTTCCTGAGGGAGTTCAAGAAAAAGTATGTTCCGTCTGCCTATGTGGATGCCAGAATAGAGGAGTTTCTGCAGCTCAGACAGGATCATAGGACTATAGTGGAGTATGAGAGGGAGTTTACGCGGTTGAGCTATTATGCTGGGAGTCTGTTAGTTACAGGCAGGGACAGGTGCAAAAGATTTGAACAGGGATTGAAGCCCAGTATTAAGAGTCATGTGATCGGCTTTGAACATGAGAATTTTTCTGCATTGGTATCACAAGCTCTGAATCAAGACAAGCCTTTAATCAATTGAATCAGGAGAAAGTTGATCTAGAAAAGGCTACAGAGGAGAAGAGTGTCAGGAGGACTTTCCCAGTGGCTAGTAGCTCTAGTAGTAAAAAGAGGAGATTCTTCAGTCCATTTCCTCCTAAATCTAGCAGTGTGAGGCCACAGAGCCAGAGACAGTTCAGACCACCATTGCCACCTCCACGAGCTCCTCCAGTTACTCATAGTTGTGTTCATTGTGGTAAATATCATGGCGGAGTGTGTAAGTTGACCACAGGAGCATGTTTTAACTGTGGTGAGGTTGGACACTTTGTGAGGGATTGCCCTAAACCGAGAACGACTACAGCATATACAGCTACAGGGGGATCGATTCAAAGACCAGCTGCTAGTTATGGATCTTCTCAGTCTTCTAGCAGAGGTAGGGGCAGCGGTAGAGGTAGCATGTCGGGTAGTCAGGGGACAGTGAATCAACTAGAGCCTATTAGTGTACCAGCTAGAGTTTATGCTATGAGGCAGAGGCAGGATGCAGATTCAGCTGATGTAGTGACTAGTATATTTCCTTTATTTAATCATGATGTTTATGTATTGTTTGATCCTGGATCATCTCACTCTTATATTAGTGCTGAGATTTCTTGCTATGCATCTGTCCCTTGTTTGAGATTGGGGTATGAAGTGCTTGTATCGAGTCCATTAGGACAGGAGGTTATTGTTAACAAATTATATCCTGATTGCCCACTCATAATCCAAGATCATGTATTCCCTTCTGATATGTATTCCCTTCTGATTTAGTTGAGATGCCTTTCGGAGATTTTGATGTTATTTTGGGCATGGGCATGGATTGGTTAAAAAATATCAAGCCAGTGGTTGATTTGTGACCTTAAGAAGATACTATTTACTGGCCAGAATATAAAGATTTGTGGTGATACTCAGGGTGAGAGACAGATACTTCCTTCATCTGTATAACTGCAGGCTTTAAAGCTCCAGAAATTGATCCGTCATGGGTGTGAGGCATACCTAGTCTCACATTGTTGGACACAAGGGTAGGTACTCCTAGTCTTAAAAGACCTTTCCTACTGTGTGTGACTTTCCCAAGAATGTTTTTCCAGAAGAAGTTTACCAGGATTGCCGCCAGAAAGTGGAAGTTGAATTGAGATTGAGGTTAGACAGGGACTCAAAACACCGATCTCCATTACTCCTTACAGGATTGGCTCCCTAGCTGAATTAAAAAGAATGAAAGCAACAATTACAGGAATTGCTTTGATAAGGGGTTTATTCGTCCTAGTGTGTCACCATGGGGAGCTCCCAGTGCTATGTTGTAAAGAAGAAAGACGGCGGTTTTAACGGTTGTGCTATGATTACCGTCAGTTGAAATAAGGTCAACAGTCAAGAAATAAGTAATCCCTTTGCCAAAGGATTGAATGATCTCTTTGATCAGCTTCAAGGGCTTCTGTATTCTCTAAGATAGATTTGAGATCGGGGTATTATCAAACTCAGAGTTAAGAGGGCAGAGTATTCCTAAGACCGGCATCAAGGACTCACCCTATGGCCATTATGAAGTTTCTAGGTTATGGCCAAATTCGGATTAACTAATGCTCCAGCAGCATTCAATAGCTTGATGAACACGATCTCCCAAACCTTACCCCTTGACCAATTTGTTGTGGTTTTTTATTGATGAGATTCTGTATATTCCCAAAGATAAGAGAAGAGCATGATAAGCACCTAAGAATTATTTCTCTTCGAGAAAAACAACTTTATGCTAAGTTTTCTAAATGTGAATTCTGGTTAGCACAAGTTGCTTTTCTTGGTCATATTGTATCTGCAGAGGGTATTGCAATGGATCCTGGTAAGATTGAGGCTATTTCCAGTTGGAAGCCACCTAAGAATGTTTCCGAGATTCATAGTTTCTTGGGTTTGGCTGGCTATTATCGCAAGTTTGTTAAGAGATTTTCTATCATTGCTCTGCCCTTAACTAAACTATTACGGAAGAACGTTAGATTTGAATGGACAGATAAATGTCAGGAGAGCTTTGATAAGCTAAAGAAGTGCTTAAAGAAGTGCTTTGAGCCTGAAAGGCGCCAGTTTTTGACTTTACCTTAATCAGTAAAAGATGTTTATTATTTTATTAGTGATGCTTCTTTATAATGGCTTAGGTTTGTGTGTTTGATGCAGGATAGATATGTTATTGCTTACGCATCACGCCAAACTTAAACCAAACACTGAGAGGAATTATCTACACATGATTTGGAACTTGCAGCCATTGTAATTTGCATTGAAGATATGGAGACATTATCTTTTATGGTGAGAAATGCTATATCTTCACAGATCATAAGTTTGAAGATCTGGGTACTCAAAAGGGAGTTGAAATTTGCGACAAGAGAAGAGGCTTGAGTTGATAAAAAAGATTAAATGAAGCTGTATTACATTATCAGCTAGGGAAAGAGGCTAATGTGGTAGCAGAATGCAACTAGTCGTAAGACTTGTAGCCTGAGGACTACACGTTATCTCTAGTCCATGATCTACGTCCCTAATCAATGCTAAGATTGAGTAAGATTTCTCAAACAATTGGGTGTATAGCTAATCTTCAGGTGAAAGCCCTTTAATTGATTGATCAGATTCGAACAATAATGGACTGATGAAGAATATCAAAAGATTCTTTCAAGAGACACAAAGAGGGTAAAAAGACGCAGATTTTTCTGTCAGTAGAGATGGGGTTATTACATTTTGGGACAGCCGGTTAATATGTTCCTTCAGATTTAGAATTTAGAACATCTCCATTTTGAAGGAACCCACATGAATTCTCTAATTTGCTATGCATCCAGGCGGGACCAAGAAATGTATAGAGGGATATGTGAAGAGGAACTATTGGTGGACTGTATGAAGAAAGATATTGCCAGGAATTTGTAGCAATGGCCTAACGTGTTCAACAAGTCAAGGCAGAACATCAAGTACCAGCAGGATTACATCATCCACTTCAGATTCCAAGAATGGAAATGGGAAAGAAGTGACTATGGATTTTCCTTAATGGGACCTTTCACTTACCCAGAAGAAACATAATGCAGTTTTGGGTTATTGTGGATAGATTGAACGAAGAGTGCTCATTTCCCTACCCTTGTAAGATCAGACTTATAGTTTTAGAGAAGTTTGAGAAAAGTATATTGGTGAAAATAGTTTAGACTACATGGAGTTGCCAGTAATCCATTGTTTCTGATAGAGATCAAGATTCCAACATTCTAGATTTATTGGGCTAGCTTTACAAAGAAAAGCCCCTGGGCACTAGATGGAATTTTAGTAACTGCATTCCCATCCTCAGACAGATGGTCAATCTGAGAGGATTATTCAAATATTGGAGGATAAAAAATTATATTCAATCAAATAATAAAATGTATTTTTCTTTTAATCACAAGTACCCCTAGGTTCAATAGGGTGGAACTAAATCTTGTTTGCACAAGTTGGCCAAGAAGGGGTAAAGTACTCAAAGCGAGTATTTGCTCTATCCACGAGGATCGAACTCTGGATCTCATTTTGGAGAAAAGAGTGTCGAACCACTTATCCAAACATTTATTGGTATTAAATGTAAATTTCAAATTAGTTATAACCAAAGCTATTTTAGGATATTTTAAATTTCATTAAAAGACGATATCGAAAATCTCATTATTCCTTACTCTATTTCTACGTTTATATACAGTATAG